CAGTCTCTGCCTCAGTCTCTGCCACAGTCTCTGCCACAGTCTCTGCCACAGTCTCTACCACAGTCTCTGCCACAGTCTCTGCCTCAGTCTCTGCCACAGTCTCTGCCTCACTCTCGGCTTCAGTTTCGGCTTCAGTCTCTGCTTTAGTCTCTGCCACATTCTACGTCATGGTGCTACGTCCCTTAGCGGACTTCGCTAGTGGGATATCACGTGACCCCCAGGTCACACGCCAGAGAGATCAAAATAATTTGCTCCAATAACTAGCGACCCTCCTCTATAAAGGCCCCTGCACAAGGCCGCACCCCCTCTTTCACTCTGGCGCCGATTGAGATCTTACCTTACTACATCGTACTTCATGTCAGAGATGTCTACCCCGACTACACGTCCGAGTTCCCCTTCGCCCTCCGGTGTCGGACGTCGTTGGTGCTCCATCTGTCGGGTCAAGCTTCACCGCACGGATCAGCATGCCAGCTGCTTCACGTGCATGGGCTCGGGCCATGCGGCTGAGAGCGCTAGCTGCGCCTTGTGTCTCGCTCTCCCCAGGGAGGAGAGCGAACGCAGGCGAGCGTTCTACGCCGCTACGATGCCCCCTCCGGACTCTTCTAAGGACGAAGGGTCCAAGATTGACTGGGCCCCACTCGACCTTCCTCCTGTGCCCGCGGAATGGGGAGACTGCGAGGTTGGAGACTCGGAGGACGGCTCGCTCATCACCCTGGACGAGGTGGTTTCCAACCCGGAGCCGGGCCGCTTCCCGCTGGACCACATGCCGGGTCTCTACTCGTCCGCGGTGGCCATCATGGGGGCCCCCCTGCCACCACAGCCAGACCAAGCGGTGGTGGACTTCACCTCCGTTGGCGCCACACCTCGAGGGAGGAGGAGGAAGCAGCCCCCACTGTGCCCGCAAATGGAGCCGGTCCTCCATTACGCGACGTGTGAGTGGTCCAAACCTCTGGCAGCCAAGAGGCCTGCCTTGGGTTATGGGATGTACTGCAACGTGCAGGACTGGTCCTGGACCGGTGGCGTCCCGGAGATCGAGGACTCTGTCCGCATGGCCCTGCTCCCCTCCTCACCTGTGTGGCCCGGCACCAGACCTCTCCTTCCCTCCGAGCGGGATAGGATGTCTGTGGCACTGCTGGATAGGTGTTACGCCAAAGCGGCTCAGGTCGTCGCGTTGGCGAACAACATGGCGTTCCTCACGGGGGCGTTCCTCGCTCTCCGCTGGCCAGTCACTCAGCGGGGACCGTCTTTCGGAGGCGAGGATCACCTCCGCGGCGCTCCTGCGCATGAGCCAGGCGCTTGCCGTGGATGGTGGACGCAGCATGGCGGCAGCCCAAGTCGGGGTCAGGCACCTTTGGCTTGGGCTAGCTAACATCAGGGAAGCGGAGAAGAGGCAACTGCTGGACCTGCCCGTCTCCCAAGATTCCCTGTTCGGCCCGGACATGCAGGCCCTGGTGGAGAGACTCGAGTCTGCGGCAAAGGATTCGGCGAGGCTAGCTCCGCACCTAGCTCCGAGGCGCAAGGCCCACCAGTCGTCTCGGAGCAGAGACAGAGGCAGAGAGCGCTCGCCCAGGAGGCGCTTCGAACCCTATCCTCGCTCCGCCACTCACCGTCTCCCCTCGACGAGACCCCCGGGCCCGGACAGACCCACGGGAGGCTCGCGGGAGCAACGTGCCCACCGCCGGCCTCCCTATGGTAGAGGAGGCCGGGGTGGCAAGAATGTTTTCAATAAAGGCCGTCCGGCATTTCACCAGTACTCGTTGTCTGAGTCTCATTTGGGGGTATGTAACATTTTTAAGGATGTATCTGATTGTGTTACTTCCCGGGCACATAACGTGGCCTCGCTAGGCCTGCAGCCCCCTGAGCAGGGCGTGCAGTGCGCTACGCGGGCTACGAGCTCCGGTTCTCTAATCCATGCTATGCCCTCCCAGAGAGAGGTCAAGCGGAGAGTGTTGGTGAGTAGAGGTGTGTGTACTTCAGCTAAACACGTGCTAGCCCCTCCTAGCTACGAGGCTAAGCACGGGGTTTCCCACTCCAGGCACGGGGTTTCACATTCCAGGGGCTCGGAGCGGCCGTGTCACAGGGTATGAACAGGCCCGGTCTTATGACGTCGGAACACGTGACCGCCCCCGACGCACACGACTTGACGCAGGAGGCTTCTCTGCCCTTTCGTTCACCCCCCCCCTCCCTGCTAGGAACACCAGGAGAGGGCGGGGCTGTGACGTCTCGTGTTCCAGTTCCCGTTCTGCCCCTCGTAGATTTCTACAACATCTGGAGGGAGCAGGGATTACTGTCAGACCCGTGGTTGGAGAAAACCATGCGCAGAGGCTACGCACTGCAATTCTCCCGGAAACCACCACCATTCCGAGGCGTACGGGCAGCACGCTCTCAGGTACGGGGGTCATTAGTGGCACTGCAAGCAGAGGTCTCCTCTCTGCTGAGTCGAGGCGCAGCAGTGGAGGTAGACCCACAGGACGCCGCCAGGGGGCTGTACTCCCCTTACTTCTTGGTGCCAAAGAAGTCAGGCGGGGTGCGTCCCATTTTGGATCTGCGCGTTCTGAACGAGTGCATTTCCAAGCGTCAGTTTCGGATGCTGTCCACAAAGCAGCTCCTACAGTGTGTCAGGCAGGGAGACTGAATGTGCTCCATAGACCTGACGGACGCTTATTTTCACGTGGCGATAGTTCCGGAACACAGGAAGTTCCTACGATTCGCAGTGGGAGAAAGGAGCTACGAATACTGCCGTCTCCCATTCGGCTACGTCCCACATACAGCGTCTGGGGTTTGTGGTGAACAGAGAGAAGAGCAGGCTGCAGCCGGCTCAGCGCTTGATTTATCTTGGCCTGCAGCTGGACTCGGTGAGGTTCAGTGCTGCATTGTCCGAGGACAGACGGAGGAGCATCACCCGTCTGGCAAAGGAGGTGCTGGCGGGTCCCAGGGTCCCCGCGCGGCGCCTCAAATCCCTTCTGGGGATGATGGCGGCGGCTCATACTGTGGTACGGTTGTATGCGTTCCCACCAGTTCTCATCTCTTGCCGGTCCTGCTGCGGAGGATTGAGCAGGAGGGGAGATCGGTGATCTTGGTGGCTCCGGACAGCCCGCATGCCCGGTGTTTTCCCTTCCTGAGGGGCATGTCGGTGATGGAGCCTTGGGCCCCGGGGGCTTTAGTCCAAGTGGGGGGGGGGGGGGGGGGGGTCTGTTCTCACGCCCGTTTATCGGCCGCAGGCTCTGGGCTTGGAGGTTGAGAGGCGGAACCCCGTAGACCTGGGTCTTCCTCCGGCGGTGGTGGAGACTATTCAGGGGGCGAGGGCGCCGTCCACGGTGAGAGCCTACGACACCAGATGGAGGCTCTTCAGCGTCTGGTGCAGTGCTCGTTCTTGGGATCCCAGGCACTGCCCCTTGGAGGGAGTCCTGGGCTTTCTACAGGAACTCTTTGAAAAAGGGAGGGCTGGCGGTACCCTGGCGGTGTTCGCGGCAGCCATCACCTCGGGTCACGGTGGCTTCGATGGGTTCACGGCCCGTTCTCATCCTTTGGTGAAACGTTTTTTGCGGGGGGCCCGCAGGAAGAGGCCCCTGCTTCAGAGAACGCCCCCAGTGTGGGACCTCAGAGTGGTCCTTAGGGGTCTGTCGGGCCCGCCCTTTGAACCAGTGTCGGAGGCGAGTCCCGAGTGTGTTGCTTTTAAGACTGCCCTCTTGCTGGCGTTGGCGTCTGCTAAGAGGGCGGGCGATTTGTGTGCGCTCTCCATACATGCGTCTTGTCTGTCCTTTGGAGAGGGAGACGGGCTGGTAGAGTTGTGGCCCAATCCGGCCTTTCTCCCTAAGGTCATTACTTCGGCCTTCAGGTTGAGAGTGATCAGGATTAGGGCTTTCCATCCGCTGCCGCACTCCTCCCCCGAGGAGGAGCGGGGCACCTTCTGTGTCCTGTCAGAATGCTTAGGCGTTACCTGACCTTGACATCTTCCTTCAGACTGGTGGATCAGCTGTTTGTGTGTCTGGGCCCCAAGAACAGAGGCGCCCCGCTGTCGTCTCAACGTCTGGCACACTGGGTTGCTTCGGCTGTACGGATGGCGTATCAAGCTCAGGGCCTGACGCCCCCGGTGGGTTTTAGGGCGCACTCCACGCGTGGAGTGGCGGCTTCTACAGCCCTCCTCATGGGGGCTTCGGTGGAGGACGTTTGCCGTGCGGCTTCTTGGGCTTCGTCCTCTTCCTTTGTCCGGTCTTACCTGTTGGATGTGTCGGACCGGTCGGTGGCCCATTCCGTGCTTGGTGCAGCGGACTGATTGGAATCATGGGTTCTTCGTCTAAGAGATTGCGGTTTGCCCTTCCGCCCTAGTTCAGGAGCTCTTGGGAGAGGCGTCCATAGGTGCGGTGTTAGGGGTGTTGGTCAGTTGGGTGGTCCACGTCAGGAGCTCTTGGGAGAGGCGTCCTGGGACTACGGGTGACTTTCGGTCGGTGTTACTTGGGGGTGTCCTTGGGAGGAGCGGCCCCGTAACACGCTTGGATTTGGTTTCTGTCCTGAGTCTTCTCACTGTGTGAGGGTTGCTCGGACGGGGCTCCAATCACTCTTCGCTGGCCTGCTGGGAGTACATGTTCCTACGGCCTCCGCGTTGTGTCCCACTAGCGAAGTCCGCTAAGGGACGTAGCACCATGATGTAGAATTAATAGTTACCTAATGTAACTTAAGTTCTACGAATAGGTGCGTAGTCCCTTAGCTACGAGCCCATCAGGCCAGCCCGGCTTGGCAGAGTTCAAGAGGGGGTGCGGCCTTGTGCATGGGCCTTTATAGAGGAGGGTCGCTAGTGATTGGAGAAAATTATTTTGATCTCTCTGGCGTGTGACCTGGGGGTCACGTGATATCCCACTAGCGAAGTCCGCTAAGGGACTACGCACCTATTCGTAGAACTTAAGTTACATTAGGTAACTATTAAGTCTCTGCCTCAGTCTCTGCCTCAGTCTCTGCTTCAGTCTCTGCCTCAGTCTCTGCTTCAGTCCTGGTCTCTTCACCTGCTCGAGTAGATCCTCAACCTTGCGTTGCCAGTTCTCCCTCGCTGCCATCAGGTCCAGTTCCTTCTGCTGCGAGAGCTGGTTCAGCGCGGCCTGTTTGTCCGCCTCATACTCCTCGTTCAACTCATCTTTCAGCAGACGCACCTCCTCTCTGCAAAAACAAAACATTGGAAATCAGAAAGTCATTTAAATATATAGTAGTAAGAATAGTAGAAGTAAGAATTATAGATGAAACGCAAATTGACCCAAAATTAAACGTTTGAAACAGAGGCTGGATGGAGCTTTAATAGGCTTCAACCTCTCTCGCAACACACGACAAGACACAGGTCCAAACACTGTCTGACCACACACCTCCCTCCCACTACCCCCTCTGTGCTGAAACCTTAACTCCTCCACATACTTCTTCAGTGCTTCATTTTTGAGCAGCTTGGTTTTAATTCATCCGTCAAGTTGTTCCACAGAGCGACTCCACACACTGAGACACACATCGATTTTAAAGTAGTTCTAAAAGTAGGCACATAAAAGGTTTGGCTTCCCCTTTTCTTTCATTGAATAGGTTCTTCACACCAGTGTTTTTCAAGCAGTGGGCCGTGGTACGTTAGTGTGCCTTGAGATGTTATTCAGTGTGCCTTGGGAAATTATCCAATATCACCTACTTGGCCAAAATAATGAGGAAAAAAAATTATTTGAAGTCTAGAAACAGTCTTGCACTGTGAAAATAATTACTTTGTTTTGTTAATAAAGGCTGCAAAGTTACATCAGTTGGCATCAGTTTCAGCAGGTGGTGTGCATTGTGATTTTTTTAAAGGGAAAAGGTGTGCCACAGCTCGAAAAGGTTGGGGAACACTGCTTCACACTATAGTTATTGTCTTTGTTTTTAGCCTTTTGTTAGAACGATAGTAATAAAACAACCATATTGATATCAACATGAAAGGAAAGAAATGATTACATTGAGTTATTTTTATGATAAACAGAGTGAAAATTATTCCATTTTCATCTGTTTGAGTTATGAAAATCTAGCCAGCAGCTCAAACATCTTAAGTTTAGGTGCCAAGGATTCTAGTATTATTACGACAGCTACTGAAAATTTCACGTATTTGTAAAAGCAGGTAGCGTGTGCATTGGGGATAATTAATGTCACAGTTTGGTTTTGAATAGCAATCAAAGCAGCTATGCAATTACTGATAGAGCAGCAAGAGGGTTTTTGTTAATGTCGTCTTTAGCTATAAAAACATCACACAGAGCTTAGTTATTATGTTGTAACTTGTTTGAATATATTCTCAGTAGTAGCACAGCAAGAAAAGGTCGCATTGTGTCTGAGATTACGGAAAAAGTGTTGAGCCGAAGCACAAAAGGCAGTGGATTAAGTGAATGTGAGAGCAATGCATTTATGTCTGATAACTTCTGTACACAGACACAGATCTATATGGACCTGTAGTGACCGATTTAGCGATCGATATATTCAAGGCATTCTGTCGACCTAAAGCACTAATTGCCGTAGCTCTTGCAATGTTTAGTGCAGTAGTAGAATTGTAAGATGCAAGTCAAAAATTGCAAAGCTTAAAATGGAAATTGAAATCCCTATAAAAGCAGTGGACAATAGCGACAGTGGACAATAGAGCATTGGCCTTTGAGCCTTAAGTTTGTGGGTTCAAGCCCACCACAAGACCTTCTCCACTGTCTGCTGTTGTTGTGTCCTTGGGCAAGACACTCCAGAAATGGATTATGGGGAAGAAAATGGATAGATGGATGGATGGACAATATACAAAGTGACTTGACTATGATAGATTCCACAAATAAAATAACAATTAGAAATTAAGCAGCATCTAACGGCCCTTGTTGCATTTCACTAAGAGGGTGGTGCCATCTTAATACAGCTCTCATGGAAGAAACACTGATGATGCAAAATTGTAATTTTTACTCAACATACTGTTCAAATAAAGACAATAATCATTTCTGCTGAAAGGATCTAAGTAGACATATGTCATGGACTTCATTGGCATGGGTCCTGACATGTTCCCCCAATGTAGGTTTAGAGGAATTGGCTCAATCTTCTTCAATATGAGCTCCATGGCCAACCACTTCTCTTCCAGCAGGGAGCTCTTTTCTTCTGTGTGTCCAGTTTGCAACAAGCACCTTCAGCTCCTTTATGAGATTTCCCAAAGAAACTTACAATTAAGCATTGTTGTCAAGCATCATTGTGGTTTCTGTTTCAGTCTTTAGTAGTTCTGACTTAGTTTCCTCTCTTTGCTGGCAGAGAAATTGTCTTTCCAGATGCCATTCTTGGTGTTCAGAGAATCGTTGTGTCTTTGAGTTTAGTAAACTGGCTGAATCTGTTCCTACAGTATTAGGGTCTGGTTCCTGCTCTGGACAGAGCAGTCACATTCTCTTGCTGCTCCTCGCTTGCTGCTTTTTTATCTCCTTTAATCATTTTTGCTTACATTTTTATTCCACAAAACACAGATTACTCCTTTTTGCATACTTCAACACAAGACTTGTGGAATTTACCTAACTTACAGCATGTCGGGAGGACGGAAAAAAAGAACAAAACTTTGCGACGGCTGTTTTTCACTCAAACAGGAGCTAAAACTTCTTCAAGACCGAATGTTTGTGCTTGAATCAGAATTGGGGTTGAACACAACAATACCAGTGAAGGGAAATGGACCAAATGGACAGAACGTAAGTTATGATGACGCTATTTCATTTCCAAAAATCAACAGAGACAATTGTTGGAACACATATGGTGCCAAGCCCAAACAAGGCAAAGCTAATGATAACAAGAGTGTCATAGTGCCACAGCAAAAATCTTTAATTACAAGGAACCGCTATTCACCACTTTTGGAAGATGAATCAGCAGTAGCGTCTCAGTCTCATTCTCAGTCAAGGTCAAATGCAGCTGAGTCGCTCTTTATTGGGGATTCAGCGATTAGGAATGTAAACATGCGTAATCTCAAGGTTCACTCAGTACACTCGGTCAAAGTGGATGAGATAAGGCTGTTGGCTCCGAGACTTCTGTCTGAGACCGGCGGGGTAAAAAGATTGTTGATCCACGTGGGGGCAGTAGACGTCTATGACAACACAAGTGAAAAGTTGAAACGGGATTATTCTCTCTTATTGGACGACCTTGCAAAAATGGACGTAACAATCGTTATCAGTGGCCCACTACCAAATGTGGACGGGAAGCAAATGAAATTCAGTCGTCTGTATCAGCTAAATACTTTCCGCGTGAACGACTTGCCTTCATTGAGAATTTTAATCTGTTCTGGAATAGGCATGAGCTTTTTGAAGGGAAAGGGCCACATCTGAACACTTACGGAGTAAAAGTGTTGATGGATAACCTTTCTTTTACCCTGAGACCTCAGCCTGCGCAGCGCGTGCAGCCATCGAAAGGGAGGAAGCCGACTCTAAAAGTCTCTGCACCTCCACCACCTCGAAGGATCTCAACACCTGCACCACCTCGAAGGATCTCAACACCTCCACCACCTCGAAGGATCTCAACACCACCACCACCTCGAAGGATCTCAACACCATCACCGCCTCAAAGGATCTCAACACCTCCACTGTCATCAGAAGCAGCTGCATCATCACCAGTAGCAGAACCAGCTGCACGACCACCACCACCAACATCCTCATCCCCAGCCTGCTCCGAAGCAGTCACGCCTTCTTCATCTACAGCACCTCTGAAGCCCCCATCCTCACCCCAGCCTACAGCAGACAGGCCTGTGCTGGGGTTTCCTCAACCACCTGCCCCTCCATCAAAGACTCCCTCGCCACCTCCCATGGACCTGTCTTGGGTCCCCCCTGCCACGTCCACTCCATCAAGAGAGAATGGGGACACGTCCCTTTGTTTTTCATCCCCGCCTTCACTGTTAGACCTACCTGAACACTCTGCAGGGCTAATAAAATCGGCGATTAAGACTATTCCTCTCACAGCCATATTAGCTAGATCTAGAGTCCTGTCCAACATTCTAAACCACTCCCCATATGTACCTCCAAAACCACCTAGGGTTTCCAATTCACCTACAAAAACCACCTCAGCCAGTCCCTCCCCTAACCTCATGACCATTCCACCCCCACTTCCCCCTCGTTCAACACCCAAAACCTCTGCCTCAGCCCACCCCGGCCCTAACCCATCACCAAAAACCCCTCCACCTCCCTGCCCCCTTCGTTCAACACCCAAAAGCCACCCACCTCTCCATCCTCCTTCCCCTCTTTTCTCTAAACACTAGGATGCACAGGGTCTCTGCTTCGCAGCCACTGGCAGTCTAGTTAGAGGAGAGACCCGGCTAGGGCCCTGTCATGAAGCCACCTGTGCCATTCCCTTAGTGATTACACAAAGAATACATTACAGAAAGACATCTGGAGTTAATCAGTCTAATCTGGAAAATCTAATTCTTGTTCCGTGTAAGAATCAGCCAACCACAACCGCTGATACTGAAACTTTGAAACTTGCTACGCTTAATGTCAGATCTCTTTGTAACAAGTCTTTTTTAATCAATAATTTTATTTGTTCTCATAATCTTGATCTTATGTTCATGGCTGAAACTTGGCTTGACCAAAATTCAGGAAATGCAGTTTTAATAGAAGCATCAACACCAAATTTCAAATTTCAATCTGAAATACGGGTAAACAAAAAAGGAGGAGGCTTAGCTGCCATTTTTAGAGACCACTTTGTCTCCCATAGAATTTCTCTTGGGAAGTTTTCGTCATTTGAATATGTGTCTTTTAAAATACAACAAAAACAATCTCCTCCAATACTCTTCATTGTCCTATACAAGCCACCGCAGTCATGTCACAGTTTTATTGAAAATTTTACCGAGTTGCTTTCAGTTGTATGCACAGATTTTGATAGTTCTGTAATTACAGGTGATTTTAATATTCATGTGGATAATGTTGATGACAGAAATGCAAATGAGCTGAGTTCTGTACTTGAATCCTTTGATCTCACTCAGCACGTAAGTGGCCCCACCCACAGCAGAGGGCACACTCTAGACCTGTTAGTTACTAAGGGGGTGAATATTTCAAATGTAAACGTGGTCAATGTTGCTCTTTCGGATCATTTCTGTGGTTTTTTTTCATGTGTTTCACTAACAAACCACCAGTGGACTCTGCAACTGTTCGAAGAAGGCGCATAAATGAAAATACGAGTGATCTATTTATGGGAATGATAAACTTTGAGAATGCATCGTGTTCTACTGTAGATGAACTGTTTAACTTTGTCACCTCTATTGTTTTGAATGTTCTGGATACCGTTGCCCCTGGGAAGGTTAAAATAGTGAAAAATAAGCAGAAGGCGCCGTGGGCTAAAGCAGACTCGGTCAGGGCACAAAAGAGAAAGTGCCGGAGGGCCGAGCGGAAGTGGCGCAAGTCCAACCTCCAGGTTGATTAAGAGATCTTCAAAGATAAGTTGTGCGAGTTTAACCGGGTGCTACGTAGTACGAGAGAAAGGTATTTTTCTTAAATAATTGAAGGCTGCAGCAACAATCTGCGTGTTCTGTTCTCAACAGTTAATAGATTAACAAACCCCCCTGTTCAAATGCCATTAGAGCTTACTTCCAAACGTAAATGCAATGAAATGCAATTTTCAATGACAAGGTTCAAGGCATCAAAAACGGAATTGTCTCCAATCCACAGATAACCATCCAACAGCCAAAAAGGCTCTCTGAGCTATCTCACTTTTCACCTGTAGATGATAAAACTGTCCAAGAGATAATCTCCAGTTTGAGCTCCTCCACATGCAGCCTGGATGTACTACCCACTAGATTTCTGAAGTCTGTTCTGAGCAGTCTGTTACCTTCACTCACACAGATAGTAAACATGTCCCTTCATTCTGGAATATTCCCAAAGGCCCTGAAAACTGCAGTCATCAGGCCCCTGCTAAAAAAGAGCAGGCTGGATGCTACGGTACTTAACAACTATCGTCCCATCTCAAATCTGCCATTTATGGGGAAAGTCCTTGAGAAAGTTGTCTACCTACAGCTTACTAGATTTCTTATAATCAACAACTCATTTGATATGTTTCAGTCCGGCTTTAGACCCCACCACAGCACTGAGACTGTTCTCGTTAAAGTTACAAACGATATCCGGCTGAACACTGACGCAGGCAAAGTCTCAATCTTAATCTTGTTAGATCTGAGTGCTGCCTTTGACACCGTCGACCATGTGATCCTCTTACAGAGATTAGAGGACTGGGTTGGCGTCGCTGGCACCGCCCTAAGTTGGTTTAGGTCTTACCTTGAAGACAGGAAGTACTTTGTGGAGATTGGAAACTGTGTCTCAGATCATATGGCCCTGACCTGTGGAGTACCACAGGGGTCGATCCTGGGACCTCTTCTGTTCAATCTCTACATGCTGCCGTTAGGTCAGTTAATACGCAGAAACAAAGTGTCCTATCACAACTATGCAGACGACACTCAGATCTATGTCTCACTGACTGCAGGAGAACATGGACCAGTGGACTCACTCCTTCACTGTATCCAACAGATCAGTGAGTGGATGCAAAACAACTTTCTTCAGCTAAACGCAGACAAAACTGAAATGATTGTCTTTGGTCCCCAGAAACAAAGAGAGAGCGTCATCTGTCACCTACAGTACAGTCTCTCTCCCTAAAACCTTCAAACAAGGTCAGAAATCTAGGGGTAAGGAGTCCACTTCCGGGTAGCAATGGAGTAGCATCTCTGAGACGGTGCTCCCATCGGACCTTGATAAATACAGCATTTAAAAACTAATAGAACCAACAAAAGAGTTAACTCCGGCTGTTAAGTCTGTTTGTGCGTTGAGGGATATGAGACGAAGCTCACGGAAAGGAGGAAATAAGCAACTATCTCAGACGCAAAAGTCCATAGCATCCTACACCGTGGGCAAGGATAAAATGGCGGACGTGGATTCCCCACAAAGTCTTGAAACCGCTGCTGTTTCTACACTTGATTTGGCAATTCTCCGCCATGAACTCCAGTCACACCGGGACGACATAAAGATGGATATTGGAACGCAGATTTTGGATCTCAAAGAGGACATTTCGTCCCTGCGCAATGATACCAGAGCAGATATTAAAACCCTTCGTGAGGAGCTAACTGGGGAGCTAGCTAAACTTAGCAACAAACAAGCAGAGGCTACGCGGCAGATGGAAGACATGGGGAATACGCTAAGCGACACGATCGATAGAGTCGCCGCATTGGAGCACAACCAGCAGCTTATGACCAAGAAATGTAAGACTCTCCAAGAAAAATGCGCGGACTTCGAAAACAGGAGCCGGAGATGTAATCTGAGGGTCGTTGGGGTTGTGGAGGACTCGGAGAAGGGGAATATGCTTACGTTTCTGCCGGTGTTTATTCGTGAGATACTGGGACGCGAAAACTTTGATTCTCCCCTGGTAATTGACAGAGCCCATAGAAGTCTCGGTCCGAAGCCCGCTTCTACAGACAGACCACGCTCGATAGTGGCTTGTTTCCACTACTTTTCGGATAGACAGAAAATACTAGATCTAGCCAAAGCCAAGGGAAAACTTGTGTATGACGGGCGACAGGTGCACATCTTCCCTGACATGACTCCTGAGGTGGGAAAGATGCGCGCAGCCTTCAACGACATAAAGAGAAAGCTCCGCGATGCTGGAGTGTCATACAGCCTCTTTTTCCCTGCGAAGCTGGTTGTCACAGTGAAAGGAGAAAGACATTCATTTGACTCACCTCAGGCAGCCGAGTCCTTCTACCAACAACATGTGAAGTAAGACTGAATAATGTCGCCTAGCTCATCGCTACTCGAGGAGAGGAGCGCGGACCTGATTGGTATGACTTGTGAATGACTTTGGTGTTTGTTTTTTCTTGGGGCTGATATGAGCCAAGTTTAGCGATTGATGTAAATACAGTTGGGTTTCTTCTTAGTTTAATGTATGATACACGGCGGTATCAGGTTCAAAAACTCATAATTTAAATTTTGTTAACACAATTTAGTTTCTAAAAACGGAGTGGTAGTGTTTTCCTTTTTTTTTTTTTTCTTACCACTTAGCTGGGTTGCATTCAGCAACATGAGTAGTTTGCTGTCAAAGCTTTTTTCCCTAACACTCGTTTGGGGAGTGTCTAAGGGGGGGAAGGGGTTATTTGTTCTCATGAATGTTTTTGTTTTTTCTTTAGTAGCACAGACTTTATTCTGGTGGATACATTTTTTTTCACTTAACATGCTGTTGTGGACCATACATTTTTTGTTTAATTTATGCTATGGCAGATAAGGAAACTTTAGTGAAATGCTTGTCCTGGAATTGTAAAGGCCTGAATGGTACATTGAAACGGAATAAGATTCTCAACCACATCAATGCACTTGGGGCAAGTATTATGTTCTTACAAGAGACCCACCTCAAAAACCGTGATCATACACACTTACGCAAAACTTGGATTGGGCATATATACCACTCAAGTTTTAACCTAAAGTCTAGGGGTGTGGCTATTTTGATTAGGAAGAATACATCTTTTGCTCTATCCGACTCCATTTTAGATCCACAAGGTAGATATGTGATAGTAACTGGGAAACTCTGTAATGTACCAGTTATTCTGGCTAACATATATGCACCCAATCATGACGACGAACACTTTATACGGTCTATAATATCATCCCTTCCGGATATACACAGTCATAGTCTGATTATGGGCGGCGATTTCAACTTCGTGCTTGACCCGTTACTTGATAGATCATCAAATAAGCAACAAAGTTTGACCAAATCTGCTAAATTGATTAAGCATTTTTTAAAATCTGCTGACTTAGTAGACCCATGGAGGCACATAAATCCCACTAAGCGTGAATATTCATTTTTCTCCCCGCGGCATAATTCTTACTCGAGGATTGATTTTTTTTTGACAGATTCTAAATTGTTACCCATAATCAAAACAATACAATATGAGGCTATAGTGCTGTCAGACCATGGACCATTAACATTAAATCTTTCATTCCCTAAACTGAATGGATCAAAAAATTGGAGAATGGATAACCGGTGTTTGGCAGAAGAGTCATCCAGGCAGTTTATAAAATCTCAGATATCTTTCTATTTTGAAACAAATGATTCCATAGACATTTCAAGGGAAACTCTTTGGGAAGCAATGAAAGCTTTTATTCGCGGTCAAATTATATCTCAGAGTGCATTAAAATATAGGAAGGAAAAACAGGAGAAACAGTTAATAACTGAACAAATTCAAACCTTGGATCAACAGCATGCCACCAACCCAGAGCCAGATATTTTGGCTAAACGTATTGCTCTGCAGGCTGAATTCAATTTGTTATCCTCAGCTTCAGCAGTGAAATTAATAAAGGAAACAAAACATCAATTCTATGAACATGGGGAAAAACCCGGCCGACTACTTGCTCACCAGATTAAAGTTATGGAGGAGAAAAAACAAATTTTAGAAGTAATAACACATCTGGGCACTTTAACTACTGACCAACAAGAAATAAACAGGGAATTTAAAAAGTTTTATGAAGATTTGTACACATCTGAAGTTGAAGGGGATACTACTCTGTTAAATAGTTTTTTCAATGATCTACCCATTCCCTTAATAACTCAGAAATCTAAAGACGAGTTGGAAAGTCTTATCTCTCTAGATGAGGTTAAACGGGCAATCAAAGCTTTACAGACATCAAAGGCACCTGGTCCTGACGGTTTTACAACTGAATTTTATAAATCTTTTGTTGATGAGCTGGCTCCCAGGTTACTCCAAGTTTATAACGAATCCATGACTCTTGGTAAACTCCCACCAACATTTTATCAAGCAACTATTTTTGTCATCCATAAAAAAGATAAAGATCCAAAAAGTTTGTCTGCATACAGGCCAATTAGTCTTTTGAATGTAGATGTTATAATCCTGGCAAAAATATTGAGTAATCGACTGGAAACTGTGCTACCCACAATCATACATGAAGACCAGAATGGTTTCATAAAAAACAGACAGTTAACCCATAATTTAAGACGTCTTTTTAATATTATCTATACAAGCAATGCACAAGCTCAACCTGAATTGCTCATCTCTCTAGACGCGGAGAAGGCCTTCGACAGGGTGGAGTGGTCCTACCTCTTCTTCGCCCTGTCGAAGTTTGGATTTGGAATTCAGTTTGTTGCTTGGCTGAAACTACTGTATGCCTCCCCGGTTGCTTCCATACAAACCAATAACATCAAGTCAGAGTACTTCCCTCTAACTAGGTCTACTCGACAGGGCTGTCCGTTGTCGCCCCTACTGTTTGCAATTGCAATCGAACCTCTTGCTATTTCACTTCGTATGATGCAGAACTATTCTGGCATCACAAGAGCAAACTATGAGCACAAGGTATCGCTCTATGCTGATGACCTTCTCCTATATATCTCAAACCCTTTAATATCTATTCCAGCAATAATGAAAAAACTGGAACAATTCAGCTCAATATCTGGCTACAAATTAAACATAGGCAAGAGTACTGTTTTCCCAATAAACCGGACACTGGAGGACATGCATGTTTATCACTTACCCTTTAAGATTTCTGATGAATTTAAATACCTGGGAATTAACATTACCTCATCCTTTAATGGGTTACTACTTGAAAATTTTACAAAGTTGATAGAACAGACCTCTGTAGATTGTGAGAGATGGTCTTATCTCCCACTTTCATTAGCAGGCCGTATTAATATAATCAAGATGACAGTACTGCCAAGATTCCTCTTTTTATTCCAGTGCATTCCTTTTTATCTGAATAAGTAATTTTTTAGAAAACTTGACACAATAATTTCAGAATTTGTGTGGAATAAAAAGACTGCTAGAATTAGAAAAGCATTCCTGCAGAGACCAAAACAGTCAGGTGGAATGGGGTTGCCAAATTTTCAATTATACTGTACTATTGGGCTTGCAATCTTAAATGTATGTCATTTTGGATCCAAAAGAAGTTTCTAAGCTGGATGCAAATGGAGCAGTATTACTGTTCTCCCTCTTCACTTAGAGCATTTGTTTTTGCAGATATAGCATCAATATCTCATGGTGGTATTGATAATTTGGTAGTCTCTTATTCACTTCGAATATGGAAACAAATTTTAAGGCATTTTGGTCTTCATTCCAACCCAATGCTTGGACCCACAATTAAAAATCACCTGTTTGCACCCTCTTTTGGAAATGACACTTTTACCGAATGGTTTAGGCGTGGTTTATGTAATTTTATGGACTTTTTTATAGAGGGTTTTTTTCCTTCATTTGAAACACTTAAGGAAAAATTTGGCTTACGCAACTGTCACTTTTTTAAATACTTGCAGGTTCGTCATTTTGTTAAACAGAACAATGCTAACTATCCTAGGGCTCCGACACCAAAACCTATTGATACACTTTTTTTAGATAACCCTTCTTCTAAAGGAGGCATCTCTAAGCTTTATAATAAATTGTCTGAGTTTGATGGTTCTGGTACTTTGCAACACCTGAGGCAGGCCTGGGAGGAGGAACTTGGTATTGCTGTCACTGAAGAGCACTGGGAACAAGCACTCGCTTGTACCCACTCAACCTCCATCTGTGCTCGTCACGGTTTAATTCAGTTTAAGATCATACACAGGATCCACTGGTCAAGACTTCGATTGAGTAAGATCTTTCCTGATGTGGACCCTGTGTGTACGCGCTGTAAGCAAGCACCAGCTTCTCTGTCACACATGTTCTGGGGTTGCTCTGAGCTATACACTTTTTGGTCAAATATTTTCTCAATATTATCAAAAGCTATTCACAAAACTATTGGCATGAATCCTCTCACAGCAGTACTTGGAATTGTAGATCGAAATTTAATTACAAGACAGTCAGAGCGCACTGTTCTACAATTTGGGTGCTTACTTGCACGAAGACTGATTTTATTAAATTGGAAGGAGGCAGAGCCCCCCTCTCATGTGCATTGGTTAAGAGATGTAATGATGCACTTAGATCTGGAGAAGATCAGGTATTCCTTACAAGGTCATGAAGATACATTTACCAGGACATGGGCATCCTTTATTAGTCTGTTTAAAATGGGAACTTGAACTACACTTTTTTGGTTTTAATTGAATGTCCACATTAATCCACTTTAATTGTCCGCATGTTTTCTTTTTTACTATAGTCTGTGTGAATGTTCCTTTGTTTATTTGTTTTTTTTCTTTTTTTTTTTTTTCTCTGTATAACCTAACATATATACATACATATCTAACGGGATATATACATCTAATACAGTGCTTCTAAGTGATCTGTACTTTCTGTTGGATTGCCAAACTGTATAAATTTGTGAAAACTGAATAAACAGAATGTTAAAAAAAAAAGAAATCTAGGGGTAATACTGGACTCAGACTTAAATTTTAATAGCCACATCAAATCAGTAACCTCAGCAGCTTTTTACCATCTAAAAAAATTGCCAGGATCAAAAACATAGTGTCTAAAGCAGACTTGGAGATTCTTATCCATGCATTTGTCTCCAGTAGGATAGACTACTGCAATGGCCTGCTCACAGGTCTGTCCAAACAGGCTGTAAAACAGCTGCAGTACATTCAAAATGCAGCAGCTCGAGTCCTGACTAGAACCAGGAAGTACGACCACATTAGTCCAGTTCTCAGGTATCTGCACTGGCTTCCTGTGGCTCAGAGAATAGACTTTAAAACAGCTCTGCTTGTGTACAAATCTCTCCATGGCCTCGCACCAAAATATATTAGTGACATGTTAGTCCCATACGAACGAGCCCGGACTCTGAGGAGCACAGGGACTGGACTCCTGTTAGTGCCCAGAGCCAGAACTAAACATGGGGAGGCTGCTTTTCAGATTCATGCTGCTAAAATCTGGAACAGTCTTCCTGAAGATGTGAGACAGGTCTCCTCAATGACAATGTTTAAAACCAGGTTAAAAACAGTTCTATTTAGCTGTGCATAAAACTAATGGATTTTATATTTTTAGCTTTATTTTTAATGTTCTGTGATTATTTATGATTTTAATGCTTTCTTGTTTTGTTCAGCACTTTGAATTGCCTTGTGTATGAATTGTGCTATATAAATAAACTTGCCTTGCCTTGCCTGATTATTAATTGGATTGGGACGTGTGTATTAAAGAACAGCAGTGTAGCTTTGGGCCAATTTCTATCTATCGTCGTATGGATCTTTATAAGAATTTTTGTGTGCAATTTTGTTAAAACTGAGCTGGTCATTACAACAGATGCATTATTTTGGTTTTCTGAAGGTCAAAGCAAACTTATCCACTTAAACCCGCGACGCGGCGGACACTGAGGAGAATGTTGTGTACTTTGACTTGGTATAAAATGCTGTGAAACAAACAAAAACGCATGTTTTCTGCTGAGACATGGTCCCTGACCTCCACATCTTTTGTCAGTTTCTTCCCACAGTTACTCTCACAAACACACTCTCCTTCACCCTGAACTTTTGCACATGCTTATAAAGACACAAAGACTAGGAGAACATGCAAATACCACACATAAAGTCCCTGCGTGTAGGTAGAATTTATTCCATGACCTTCTTGGTAAACATACATCTGTGTGCCCCATACTACATTGCATAGAAAGCTAGAATTCCTGCACTTAAAGGTACTGTATATAGGAGTACTTTGTTAGGAAAGAACCACTTTCTCCACTTTTTGAACAACATTCTCTGGTCTTATTTGACAAGCATGTACTGTATAGTAAGTAAGTAAGTAAGTAAGTAAATAATCTTTATTTATATCGCCTTTCACGGACCAAAGTCACAAAGCGGTTTACAATAGTGGGCATTTGTCTTCTCACTCAACAGAGATGGGAGCCGGGGCGTCAGTACAGCCGCCGTGCCGCCCACTAAAGCACAGAATGATAATTGAGAGGACCAATAGTCTTGATCATTCACCTGGAAGTAGATTATCATCCTACAATATACCCAGTTTTGACGGCCATGATGTTGTCTGATTGATTTCTTTAAACCTGGTTCACCTGAGCGCGTCTCTCCACTTCTGGTCCAGATCGTCTGCCATCTTGTCCATCTTCTGCTTCTCCTCCGTTCGGATAGACATGACTCTGGCCTCGTGTTGCTGCTTTTGTGTCTCAATCTCCTCCTGGAAATGAACACAATGAACGATAGTAAAAAAGTAATCCGCCAGAATTTCTACTTTCTGACAAAAGTGAAAGCAGATCTTAGAGCAGCCGGCAGTTTCTCCTTCCTTGTTCTTCTGTCTAATTTGTATTGCGTTCATATTGACAACAGGGGATTGACCAAACTGTAAATAAAAATATCTTTAAACTGTGTTGAATGTCACTTGCACCAGCAACATTCTACAGCATTATTCCTGGATCTACAGCCTCAGTCCTGGATCTTACAGCCTCAGTCCTGGATCTTACAGCCTCAGTCCTGGATCTTACAGCCTCAGTCCTGGATCATCAGCCTCAGTCCTGAATCTACAGCCTCAGTCCTGAATCTACAGCCTCAGTCCTGGATCTTACAGCCTCAGTCCTGAATCTACAGACTAGGTCTACAGCCTTACAGGGAATTTACAGAGTAGGCGTTAACAGCGCGTACGCGTTGACTGCGCGCATGTGCGCGTAACATTATTGGGGTGTATCTACACTGGCCGTGCGCGCAGGTCCGCGGTTTCTGATGCTTTCCCTGTGTAGTCTATGGAGAAGTGTAGAGGACAGTACGGACCAGAGGACTGATGTAGAACAACACAAACAACATGCATGTGTTTGTCTTCATGGTCTCTGTGCGCTGGTTTGGCCAGACGCGAGACTTTATGAAAGAAAAAAAACAATGTCCAGAATCACTGTAAAACCTGCCAGTCCTCCTGCTAATGTTTGGATACAAGTGCCAAGGGCCGCTAGAAAACTCATGTTTCACATGTGTTTTCAATGGGAGATGCGTTGCTGCGTGCACAAAATTAGAAATCCATCCTAAATTAGGTGCAGACTTGCATCATACGTCCGTCATACGCGCGTATAACGCTAGAAGTGTTAATATCATCATAGGTTAACATGGAAAAAAATTACGGGCGTCTGCCGCGCGTATAACGCGTACGTGCTGTAACGTGTCCTTTGTAAATTAGCAGTGAGTCCTGAATCTACAGCCTTAGTCCTGGATCTACAGCCTCAGTCCTGGATCTACAGCCTTAGTCCTGGATCTACAGCCTCAGTCCTGGATCTACAGCCTCAGTCCTGGATCTACAGCCTTAGTCCTGGATCTACAGCCTCAGTCCTGGATCTACAGCCTCAGTCCTGGATCTACAGCCTCAGTCCTGGATCTACAGCCTCAGTCCTGGATCTACAGCCTCAGTCCTGGATCTACAGCCTGTTTGTCCATGGGAGCTGTGTTCTCGATATGGGCCTCCTAAAGCTTTAGGCAAGGCAAGGCAAGGCAAGTTTATTTGTATAGCACTATTCATACACAAGGCAACTTTAAAATTTAATGAGCAGGTATAATTTCTTAAAAGTGTTGGTTTGTCTGTCTGCCTGTCTGTATTTTTTATTTATTTAACCTTTATCTTACCAGGAGAGTCTCATTGAAATAAGAACCTGTTTTTCAAGATTGTCCTTGACTGTAAGCAACATACTTTCTTAAAATTTTACTAAAAAGGTTTCATTCATTCATTCAAATAGTGATGGGCAACAAGGGGTGGATCTGGAAGCTTTAAAGGAATGTAACGGCACCTCTTGGCAGATGTTGGCGCTCTACGAGTGCTTTCCTGGTCTAGGTAGTTTAACGGATTGTGACAAACATTATCAGTCGCCACACACTCTTGCCTACAAGCAAGATTAATTATGAAACTGGCATGTAAAAGTAATCACACAATAGATACGTCCCTGCTGTAGCATGACTCATTCAAAAATATATTAATTTATAAAACGTTTTAAGCTACAGGCGATTCTCTTCGTGAGATCAACTTCATCCACAAAACCCCACAGGCTCCAGTTGTTCATGAGCTCATTAGAAACCATCGCTCTGACGCATTGGAGATATAAAAAAAGGTTTAGTTAAAAGGGAAGGACATTTATATAATTGAAGTATAAAACCTGGGGCTATGCATGGGCTGAAATATTAATTAGCCGTATATGCTAAGCAGAAAAATTTGAATTGCTGATGTCTGAAGAAATAAATGTGAGGTTGATAAGCCGTGCAGAATACCCATGGCTTCATCAATATTATCTTAAAGTCCTGGCAGAATAAAAAAAAAAATCGTTGTTTTCACTTAATAGATAATTTGCATTTCATTTGCCTCAATTTATCATGTGGACCAGATTCATGTGGACCAGATTCATGTGGACCATGCAGATATCACGGACCAGATTCATTGTGTTAGATAACTATATCACAATGAAAACTCCTGGTTGCGTCCTTGCTTGGGTCTAGTTTTGATTTAGCCCTAGCTCAGTCCTGGTTTGTCTCTGAAATAGTAGTTTAGTCCTAGTTTAGCCCTGGTTTAGTAGTTTAGTTCTGGGTTTGTTGTGGTTTAGTCCTGGTTTTTGGTCTTGTACAGAAGAATAAGCCATGATCAGTGGGTTTCACTCTAATAACGGCATATACTTGTTAAAAGCAGTAGTATTGAGACGAATACTGTGACAGACGCTGGTTTGTCTCCGTTTCAAGATGATTCACGTCTGTTGGGCTGATCCCGGGGAGAAGCCGTGTTTGAGTGACATGTGGGGGAGGCAGCATTTATCCACACTGAGGAGAGCGTGTCGTATTGTCCATAAACACAGTCTGCATGTTTGTGCCACTGCCAGCCCTGCTTTAGTATTTTAGTCCTGGTTTAGTCCAAGTTTAGCCCTGGTTTAGCCTAAGTGTAGCCCTGGTTCAGTATTTTGGACCTGGTTTAGTTCTGGGTTAGTCTTGGTTTGGTCCTGATGTGTATTTACTTACAAAATCATATACAACTTTATCAGACGAATGAGCCATGATTGGTGGGTTCACTCTAATAACTACACACACTTTAGCCCTGATTTAGACCTGGTTAATCCCTGGTTTAGCTCTATTTTTGCCCTGGTTTAGTTTAGGTTAGTCCTGGTTCAGCCCTAGGATAATCCTGGTTTTGTCCTGGTTTAGTCCTGGTTTAGCCCTAGTTTAGCCATGATTTATCCCTGGTTTAGCCCTTGGACCCTGAAACATGTTCTTGGAATACACTTGGCATTTCATGTGTTCATGTTTTGGCAGAAAACCTATGAATAAAAATATCCATCAATCCATTTTCTTTTGCTTTATAACGGATACCAGAGGCAGCAGTCTGAGCGGAGACGCCCAGAGTTCCCTCTTCCTTTGTAGCATCCGGCTGCTACAAAAAGCAAGTGAATCAAAGCCGTTTTGCTTTTCTCTCTGCATTCGGAGACTCAGACACCATGAGAACTATCCACCCCACGGCGTCACCCTCCAGGGGATATTGGGTAATGTAAATGTTTTATTTATTTGTTTGGGACAGTGCACATTAATCAACATGTGACCACGTACTTATGCCAGACTTAACCATGAAGGCTGGTTTCCATCTGTAGTCCCTCAAAAATCCACAGACAGAAAAAGCAGACAGTTTTACAATACGTTTTCAGCCGATCTGGGCTGCCTGGTTGCTGAATCTCCAACATGAAATGATTTTTCAATCCCAAGGCGCACACTCTCTTCATCACAGCTCATTGTTGCCATTTTCAGTCCGGACCTGCAGCGACTCCACAAACCTTACTCAAACATGTCCTCGAGACGGGCCTCTTCCAGTTTGTTTGCACAGAAATGTTTTGTAATCTCCCACAGTAGAGAATTAATCATATCCATTACATCGTTTAGTAATAGTATAGATTGGCTCTCACTAATTAACAGCTAAGAAGGTGCTAATTTCTGTACCCTAACACTGACCTGTTGAATGGCCATATAGAATAAATACTACTACTACTACTACTACTATTAAAATAATAATAATAATAATACCAATTAAGAGCTAATTAACCATCAATTATAAACAACTTAGCACTTCGTTAGATGTTAATGAGTGAGCACTAAACTAAAGTGTGACCCATGGTTTTAACTTGTTTTCATGCAGGTAATTTTCCGCCTCCAGAAAGTTACAAACTGTTGCTTTAAATTCACCCCACTAATACATATTCAAATACACAAAGAAGGGGATATTGCAATAAGTCGTAACTATTGGATAAAAAAAAGAGGATGATGCTGTGGTCCAATTGATTTAGTAAATTACATGAGGGTGAGTATAGATTGTGTTTGATTAAAAAGAGAAAAATAAACTTAAACTTGCGACTTGAGGAAGCTTAGGTTTATTTTTCTTCGGTGCAAGTGTTTTTCAGGGCGCTCTAACAATAACTAAGCAGAATACGGTGAAGTTGCAGTGAGAAAAAACGGAATGTGAGTTTCAAATCCATGATCTTACCAAGAGGTAGCACATTTTCTGTTTAAATCGCTTTGACTGCGTTAAAAAGAAGCAGCAGAGGCCGAGCGTGGAGCGAAGGAGGAGTCAAGAACCACGTGTTAGTGAAACACAACAGGAGGATATGAACACAGCAACAAAAGCAGATCAAGCAGCACTTTGAAAAGACAAAAAAATATCTGGGGTTAAACTTTGTGCTGCTAAAACAAGGCCTGTCACCATAGCTCATTTTGATGGAGGAGATTATACAGTCTATCAGGGGTCTCCAATCTTTTTCATTCGGAGAGCTACTTTCATACTAAAGAAGAAGCAGAGAGCTACTCCTTTTTGCAGTCGTAATAAAAATCTATCTAATATTTACGACAAATCATGGAGAACACAGAAATATACCATAATACTGTATAACCCTATATTTATACTCAAAATGTATTCATTCAAGGTAATTTGTTGAATTCTAAATCCTTTGGCGAGCTACCTAAAAGGGGCTGGCGAGCTACTGGTAGCTCCAGAGCCACAGGTTGGAGATCCCTGTTATATATTGTCCAAAAATGATTGCAATAAATGATCATTTCAAAATAAAAATAAATAATCCCAGTAAAGCAAAAGTAAATTCTGAGCATTCTACATCTAAACTGTCAAGAAAACCACAATTATTTATTTATCCTGAAATCACAGTGGGACTGTCTTGGTTAAAGAGGGTATTACAGTGTGGGGGCTATATTTAAATATGTTATTATATGCAGTTCTATAGTGTTCTGGAGATAGAAATAAACCAAAGACCTATTTATTAAGACAGTAATAGTATTTTCTGTTCTGTTATAATCTTATGGCCCAAACACCCATGTGATATCATACAAAATAGCTTCATAACGATGACCTTCTTTCAGTATTTAATTTCCTTGTTTGTGCGGCTTTCTCACCTGTAGGTCTGTGAGGAGGTTGCTGGTCTCCCGGACTCTGGCTCTCGTTGCGTCCAGTTCGATCCTGAGTTTCTCTTGAGTTTCTTTTAAGCAGGAGATCTGAGTCTGAGCCGAATTCATGTTCTGTTCCCCTTCACGCACCAGCTCTTGCAGATGGGAAACCTGCAGGGGGCGACACAGAGGAGCCCAGAGGTTCATTATGTGGATGAGGACATTTTCACACACAAACTAGCAGCAAGAAATTGTCTCTGTTTGGTCTTGGATTTTACCTCATAATAAAACTGGTGCAAAAGGGCATGGTAATAGGCAAGGGAGGGCAACTTTAGTCGTACGGCAGTTTATACGAAAAGCACCAAAACCTGGATTTGAACATTGTCGGAGTAGAAGCCTGTCTCACAATTTCAGGAAGACTTTTAGCTGCATAAATGTTTAGTCCTGACTCTGAGCACCAGCAGGAGGCCAGCAGTCCCTGTGCTCCTCAGAGTCCAAGTTGGTTACATGTCACAGATGTACTTCAGTGCGAGGCCGTGGAGACTTCTACACACTAGATTATAAAAGCACCTACATGAGCTGAATCCAGGACACTTTCTATACAGCGACCTGCTCCTCACAAACGTTTCCCCACGTTTTTCTTGTATTCGTTTTGGTTATCTTATTTCTGTAGTCCTCTATCTCTTTCAGGACTCCACCTGTTGTCTGTTTCACATAACATTACTGAAAAAACTGCCTAAAGCTTTAGCTCCAACACAAATTCAAATCACAATATTCCTGCTACATTTCGAAATGTCAAACGTTTCCTCATTTCTCCAATTCGTCGCCTAAACATAATCTCCCCGTTCTCAATAGCAAAGGCGAGACGAGGAGGCGTTCATGTACAATTTCCCACTCGGCGAGTGCTCAGAGCCCATGAAGACCGCATTAGTACAACTCCATACGCTCTGAGCATGACCAGACAGACACTCTCCTCTGTTCAAAAAGAAGGACCGTTGCTTCAGAGATGGGATTTCTTCTCAGCATAACACAGAAGCTGTCGCCGCACTTTTCCACAACATTTAAGATGGCCTCTCCTGTGACTTTCGCACTGTTCTCTTCCAGTCTTCTGTCCGTTTTAAATCATTTGGAAAACATGTTGTCACAAGTAGTAGTAATGGTGGTATATGCAGTAGTGGCAGTAGCAACAGTAGTAGTGTAGCAGTGGTAGTTTTAGCAGTAGCAGTAGTATATCAGTTGTAGTAGAAGTCACGCCTATCTCCGCCTTTGAAACTAATGTGCCACCAGCTACCAGCCTTCTGTGGGATTTTTCAAAATGGCCACGGGGCAGGAAAATGTAAAAAAACACATTTGTGCACGCAGCAGCCAGCATCAGCTACAAAAGTTCATTCAAAAGTGCATTCAAAAGTCCACAACGGCTAAACTAGTCTGGTCCAAAAAAATGACACATCTGGAACATAGCGTTTAGCCAAGAGCAAACCATCCTATAAAGCAGTTTTTGAGAGGAAAGAAGGCAGCATACCAAAGCATTGGATAATTCTTTTTCCAGGTACACCCCCACCGACTAGGAGATTGCAAGTATGTCAGCGCACATGCTCATGGACCTTTTTGAGCCATGATCTGGCCCACTGGGTTGGACTGATAGTGTAAAATATAATTGTGATAGTTAGCTTGCTATTAGCCAACTGTTTCAGATCAGTCCATCCATCCATTTACTTCCCCTTAATCCAATTCTGGGTCGGGGAGGTGGCAGTCAGAGCTGCATCCAATTCACAGAGCACCAGCCCCTCACTGCTCCTCCTGCAGGTGGTGAGTCCACAGGAAGATGGCTGCTCTGTGATGACACAGCCTTGATCTTCAGGCTTCAGGCAAATTAGCAGCCCGTGTTCACAGTCACGGGAGACTGAGACCTCAAGCTGGAGGTATATGTTCACACTGTGTTAGTAGTATTGTTAGTACTGGTTTAGTCCTGGTTTAGCAGTTTTAAAGTGTTTTCAGTCTTCTTGCTCGGATTCTCTTCCTGGTTTTTCTAATAGAGTTAAGTGAAATTTCTACTGACCCCATTTTCTATTGATATCGAACATATGTCTATCGCAATATACTGTATATCGTTATGTTGAGTTTGAGTTGTTACCTCCTGATTGGACATGTTGAGTTTGGCCGATAGTTCCTCTTTCAGATTGTCCAGCTGCTGTTGAAGTCTGTCCCTCTGCTCCTCCAGCGATAGCCGCTTTATCTCAAACTCTTGACTCAGTTTCTGTAGAACAAACAAGAATAGTATAAAAGTGATATCAGATAAAGATATGAAGCAAAATGAGACAAAATGTTGCTTAATCATGGGCTCATCAAGGCTATTGGTCCTCCTAACTGTCAATCATTCTGGTGATACGGGACTAGAGGTCGTTGTGCTCATCAAACACACCAGAGCGTTTTTGGGAGATGCAAATAGTGACTTGTGACCAGAGCGTGCACTGGAGAACTGGGCTCGTACTCGTCTCTCCACACGTTTTTGTCAGTGTTCCCTCTGGACCAGGGAGAGCGATGCCAATGTTTTCAAAATGTGTAGAAGGAGGAGTATCTCCCAGGCAACCCAGAGGCTACTCCACCTCTGCTGCTGTGACCTGTACTGCTCCACCCAGAGACAACTCCACCTCTGCTGCTGTGACCTGTACTGCTCCACCCAGAGACTTCATCACTGCTGCTGTGACTTGAGGCTGTTGCTGATTGCTGAAAAAGATAACTATTGTTATCTTTTTAGAATGACCAATTTTATTTTTTATTTTTGCTGCTACTGGACGCCTTTTTGAGCCATAATCCGGCCCACTGGGTTGGACTGATAGTCCATCCATCCATTTTCTTCCCCTTAATCCATTTCTGGGTCGGGGGGTGGCAGTCAGAGCTGCACCCAGTTCACATGGCACCAGCCCCTCACTGATCCTCCTGCAGGTGGTGAGTCCACAGGGGCTGAGATCTTTCAGTTGGGGCTTTGGGCAAAGTAGGGTTAAGTGTCTTGCCCAAGGACACAACAACAGCAGTCATCAGTGGGAGTCGTGAAGTAGGTCTTGCGGTGGGCTCCAACCCACGACCTTCAGGCCCAAAGGCCAATGCTCTACCAACTGAGCTACTGTCGTGGACTGATAGTGTAAAATATAATTGTGATAGTTAGCTTGCTATTAGCCAACTGTTTCAGATCAGTCCATCCATCCATTTACTTCCCCTTAATCCAATTCTGGGTCGGGGAGGTGGCAGTCAGAGCTGCATCCAATTCACAGAGCACCAGCCCCTCACTGCTCCTCCTGCAGGTGGTGAGTCCACAGGAAGATGGCTGCTCTGTCTGTGATGACACAGCCTTGATCTTCAGGCTTCAGGCAAATTAGCAGCCCGTGTTCACAGTCACGGGAGACTGAGACCTCAAGCTGGAGGTATATGTTCACACTGTGTTAGTAGTATTGTTAGTACTGGTTTAGTCCTGGTTTAGCAGTTTTAAAGTGTTTTCAGTCTTCTTGCTTGGATTCTCTTCCTGGTTTTTCTAATAGAGTTAAGTGAAATTTCTACTGACCCCATTTTCTATTGACAATGTTATCCAAGAGTTAAAGTAAGCCTAAAGCAGAAATAAACCAAGACTAAAGCAGGACTAAAGCGGAAAAAAGCAAAAACTAAAGCTCGACGAAAACAAGACTTAAGCAGGACTAAAGCAGAGACTAAAACAGGACAAAAGCAGGACTAAAGCAGGACTAAAACAGGACTAAAGCAGGACTAAAGCAGGACTAAAGCAGGACTAAAGCAGGACAAAAACAGGACTAAAGCAGGACTAAAATAGGACTAAAGCAGGACTAAAG